TCATGGTTGTCTGTGGGGCTCAGTCTGGGGCTTAGTCTGGGGCTTAGTCTGGGGCTACAGATGTAAGTGGGGCTATATTCATCGTTGTCTGTGGGGCTCAGTCTGGGGCTTAGTCTGGGGCTACATATGTAAGTGGGGTTATGGTCATCGTTGTCTGTGGGGCTCTGTCTGGGGCTACATATGTGGTACAGTGGGGCCAAGTTATGGCTGAAGGTGGGGCTCTTTATGGGGCACTTTGGGGCTTTGTTTCGGAATCTCTCTGTGGCTCTATGTGGGGCTTTGTATGGGGCTCTGTAAGTATCTATGTGGGGCCCTGTGTAGGTCTTTATATGGGGCTTTGTGTGGGGCTCTATTTGGGACCCTAAATGGGGCTCTATATGAGATTATAAGGCTTGGGTATCAAGCCTGAAATGATAATTGTTACGCTTTGGAATTTGTTGTACTGTAATGTAGGTAGGGGGGGGGGCAGCAAAAATGTCATAACGAGAACGAGGCTGGTCATGACCAGACCGAGGCTTGTCACAGCCGGAAGGTCATGTTAAAAACGAGGCTGGGCACTGCAATAACACCGGGATGGAAACGAGGCTGGGTCGTCTGGTTGTCAGATTAAAACTCTCGACGTCAGACCAAAGGCCGACAGGTCAGCCATGATGGAGTATCGACTTGACTACTTTGGATTCGATTAGCTCATTAACTGATAGTTTTTTTAACTCGACTACATGTTAAGGTCAAAAACATTGACAAACAGAAAAAGAAATTTGTTCGTAAAATTTCGTTTACTTTTCTGGCTTTGAGAAAAGTGTAACAGCGGAAATGTCGGAAATGTATTTTTAGATTTGAGAAAGATATTATGGTTGCATAATACGGCTCGTAAGTAGGTCACTAACTTCTCGTTCTCATACTTGCCAGCTAGAATTTTTCAAACCAAATGTGATTTTTATTTTATAAAATCGGTAAAAATAAATAGAAAAGTTACTTCCGCTATTGTTATTTAAAATAGTAAAATAGGCTACAAGATGTAGCAAGCTTAAAGAAAAATATAGCTTAGTTAAATTGGTTGTTTTTTTTTTTATTATTTATTTATTATTATTTATTTATTCGAATTCGTAACAAGTAACGTAGTTACAATATTAATATAATATTAATAGCTTAATTTGATTATATTACTAGTACAGTGTTTATAAACGTTATATTGTAGGTATTCTTGGTATTTTAAAATCGTGAAACGAGGCCTTGTAACAAATAGCCGCCATGCTTTTTTTTATAATTAGGAATCATATCCACAACCATTATTTTAGTTTGAAAATGTATATCTCTCTGGCTAACGAGATTTTGATTTTAAGCGAGAGAGACCGAGACTTGCAAGCTCTAATCTAACTCTCTGCCATCATCATGTTGATACCATGACTTCACCATCATCATGTTGATACCATGACTTCACCATCATCATGTTGATACCATGACTTCACCATCATCATGTTGATACCATGACTTCACCATCATCATGTTGATACCATGACTTCACCATCATCATAGTGTGACACCATCGCGATCATTCCATCATCGTCTTATTGACACCATCATTCCACCATCATCCCATCTTCCCATCATTATTCTTTCTTCTGTCACCTAACCATATTTCCAGGTACCATCATGTTCGTCTTATACCATTTTCCCTACCATGTTCGTACCCATCTTCACCACAATATCTCATCTGGCTAATCCAAACACCGCGCCGATAACTTCACAAATTCTTACCCATAAACCTTGTTTGATTAAACCCAAACATAAATGAGCATTGATTCGTTGTTTCTTTTTAATTTTTAAAAATTGTTTCGTTCTCTATTGAATATATTTTTTAAATGTTAGCTTTTAACATTAAGTAAAATAAAAAATCCAATCGCCCATCTCTCCCGACCTTCCCTATGTCAGTAAAACCAACCCCCCCCCGCACCCCCACCCATTAACTACGGGTGAGCACCCATTCATTAGCGCTGTTGTTTTTATAGTACTCCATTGTTCGAACCTTATCAATAATCCTTGCCAAGGGCGGTAATCGATACCACATTTCAGTCACTGACTGCCATTTAAAAACGGGGGGGGGGGGGGGGAACGTAATAAAATTTAGGACTGGAAAAAGAATAAGAACAATATATTCATGAGTTGATCGCGTTTTACGTCCATACAGAATGTAGCCTACCACAACGGGCCCAGAAATCCGTCGTACATGCGAGTGTTGGGGAGGATGGAGGAGAATAAGTTGTGGTATGAGGTGCACTGAATAGGTTTTGCATACTATAACCTTGCATTGTAGACGGTAGATTTATTTAGCCCTTGTATGCCTATACAAACACACACACACACACACCGGACAGCCTAAACACTGAAAGACCAACCCTAACTGTAAGGACAGAACCTAAACATCGACCGACACACACCAACAAAACCTTAACATTGACCAACTAAACCTAACTATTGACCAACCAAACTAAACATTGACCAACCAAACCTAAACATTGACCAACTAAACCTAACCATTGACCAACCAAACTAAACATTGACCAACCAAACCTAAACATTGACCAACTAAACCTAACCATTGACCAACCAAACTAAACATTGACCAACTAAACCTAACCATTGACCAACCAAACTAAACATTGACCAACCAAACCTAACCATTGACCAACTAAACCTAAACACCCACCAACCAAACCTAAACATCAACCAACTAAACCTAAACATCCACCAATCAAGCCGATGCGCTAATTAATTAAAGCACCAATGAATCACTCAACAAATTTTCTCATCAGTCACTCACTGACGGCCTCTGTTGTTCCAAAGTTCGGTAACTCTTCCATCACGAATAATTAAAGCGCGGATAACTCCTGTTTCCAACTTTCAAAACAAATACGGGTTGTCCGGCCATCAAGTGCATTAATAAAAACAAATCATTACTTTAGCGGTGTCGACTATCCATTAATTACCTGTTGTATACACGTTACCTTTTCAGGTAGAGTTTTATGTTAGGTTTAGGTTTACAATTTGGCAAACTAAATAATTTGTGAGTTGGCAAAGGTGACTCCCACTATGGGACTTAAACTAACTTGTGTGGGCAAAAGCTGAAACACGGACATGGCTGCTGATTGGTCCGTGTATTAGTCACGTGAGCGTCTACTTTGACCTAATATAACATGCAGGCTTATTATCAAACCGAAAATTGTATTTCTCATTAACAAGTTTGTGTTATGTGGAGTTAAAATTACTTTTAATTAGCATCAGAACAGCGGCTTTAATGGAAACTTTTTTTTTACAGTTTTTTGCCTTTTTTTTCTCGATCTAATATAGATTTCACGCGCTTTTCAAAATGAAATCAAGAATAACTAAATTTTATAATTTGCTTTTTGAAGTTATTTTCACGTCCTCAACTTGTTGTTGAAGATTATTTTGTTTCGCTCTGTATTTTTTTCATGTATCTGCGAGTAACTAATTGTATGGTCCGACCATATAGATTTATAACTGTTTGTGAAGTGGGTGGGGAAGGGGGTGGACAAACAGAACACCCGCCTATGTCCTCATAGTGTGCCCTTACATCGGTAGGTATTAAGTAAGTCCGAACTTTGGTCTGAGTTTTTATCTGGACGGGCCTTTTATGAGCTGGTCGCCGGCAATCGTCCAACGTAGCTTGTGTGTGTGTGTGTTTGACTGTAGTTACGTTCTTTCATTGTGCCCTATGTCATGGTGCCCTCTGTCACAGTGCCCTCTGTCATGATCCCCTCTGGCTTGGTGCTATCTTCACGGTGCCCTCCAGAGTTTCAGGCATCTCTTCGTGGGGCTGCGTCGTCGTCTACCACCCCCCCCCCCCTTCCACCGAACGAAGAAAAAAAGTCTGAAAGAAACATTGGTGCCCTCTGTCATAGTGCCCGCATTATACCCTGTAACAGTAAACCTTATTTTATTATGACCTACCTCTGTCCTTTGATGCTCTACCTCTGTGATGCCCCTAATGCCCTAACTCTCTGATGCCCCTAATGCCCTAACTCTCTGATGCCCCTAATGCCCTAACTCTCTGATGCCCCTAATGCCCTAACTCTCTGATGCCCCTAATGCCCTAACTCTCTGATGCCCCTAATGCCCTAACTCTCTGGTACCCCTAATGCCCTACCTCTCTGGTACCCCTAATGCCCTAACTCTCTGGTACCCCTAATGCCCTACCTCTCTGGTACCCCTAATGCCCTACCTCTCTGGTACCCCTAATGCCCTACCTCTCTGGTACCCCTAATGCCCTAACTCTCTGATGCCCCTAATGCCCTAACTCTCTGATGCCCCTAATGCCCTAACTCTCTGATACCCCAAGATGCCCTACTTCACGGAGCCCTCAGATGCACTCTCATGACCCCTCCCTCATGCATGTTTAACAAGCACCCACTGCACGCGCCACCAAACCGGTTTTTACCGGCCCATAAAACTCGCACTGGAACTTCACTTACCTGATGACGAACGTGAGCAGTGATTGGGACGTGCAGGTGTGTGTGACGTCACACTGACTTTGGGCGACGGACCCAGCACATGCGAGACCAACTATGCTCACTGTACCAAGACCGACAACCTATGCTTGATTTGATCTGAATTTTCAACGGCGAGAGCGAGAAAAGAGAGTGAGAGAGATAGAGGGGGTGGGGGGGGGGGGAGGAATAGGCTCATTTAAAAGATCTGATATGTATTTTTACAAAAATTTGTATTTTTTTACAAGTTCAGCTGAAATAATTATGCGATGAATATTTTTTATTTTATAGAGAGCGAATTTCGTTGTTTTTATACGTTTTTATTTTTATTTTACAAACATCGTTTGCTGAGATAATCATGTGTGTGTACAAATAATATATTTTCAGACTAAAATTAACATTGATTTGTTTTAAAGGTCATTTATTTAACTACACGAATAATAGATTTTAAACTAAGATCATCAGATTCATTACAAAGATCATTATCTTCCACAGATACAGACTCGCGGTGGGCGGAGTGGTGGACTTATGACGAGGGTATTTCAGGTACTGAGTGTTAGATGTAGTCTAGACTAAGTGAAAGGGGTAGCTATCTGCTGACATGCTTGTTCCAGGTGACCGGGAGTCCGGCTACATAATGCCGGACAAAGCGATACAAAAAGACCTCTGCGCTCTGTAAAGAGCGGTAAAAAATGTGTCTACGTAATCAAGGAATTCGTCAGAGCTACTGTAGCCCTTTGAGTTCTGGTGTTTTCCTTTGAGCAGCGCTATATTGTTGCCCTTTGAATAGCTGGACTGTTGCCCATTGAGGTTGATGTTGCCTATATATGGGCCTGTGACTGACACACTACCTAGCGGCTTATATTAAAGATATGATGTATATGAGTTGTTCTCTGACATAATGTTCTAATCGCTGAATGTTTTAAACTCACTAACTAACTAGGATTTTTATCGACCCCTCAGGTCCCAACTACTGGGGTCGTATCAACCCCAGCTGGTCCCTGTGTACCAAGGGACACAACCAAAGCCCTGTCAACATCGACCCCAAAAGTTTACTCTACGACCCGTCTTTATCTCCCCTGGAAATCACAGGAAATGCGGTGAGTTGTTGACAAAAATTTTAATAAACACACAAAAAAACGTAGACCTTTGTTTGATTTAGCTGTTAGAGCTTTGTAGATGCTAATTAATGGATTAATTAATTAATTGCCTTCATCAGGTGTCTGGGACATTAATTAACGTTGGGCACACGCTGACGTTTGATGTGGACATGAATAGCCACTGGTCACAAGGGGTCAACATCACAGGAGGTCCTTTGTCTTATTCCTACAGGTATAGTTGATTGGAGGGATAGGGATGGGTTTGGGTGGTTGGGATAGGTTAGGTTGGTTGGGATAGGGATAGGTTTGGGTGTTTTGGGATAGGTTTGGTTGGTTGGGATAGGGATAGGTTTGGCTGATTGGGATAGAGATAGGATAGGTACAGCTTGTTGAATGGTTAGGGATATATACTACTGCTTCGAGAGATAGTAACTGCTAGTTGGGATAGGTATATGTATATGTGGTTGATGGGATAGGGATAAGACAATCTGGTTAAAGGGATAGGGATACAACAACATGGAGAATAAATGTTTATTATTTTAACAATTTGGATATTCATTGTTTTATAGAGATAGATATATGAATTTTATGGCGTGTGGAGGGGGGGGGGGAGTTAAAAAGTAATTTCTAAACGTAATCTTAACATTCAGTTTTTATCACCTTAAAAAAACTTCAGTAATTAACCATAAAAATTCATCCGTGAATCTGAAATTGTCCCACATTTTTAATAGCTATATTAATCGGGTTGTTTTTGTTTGTTTATTTGTTTGTTTGCTAAGGGTGACAACTCAATAAATTCGGTAAAAATTATCCTAGCTTATATGCATTACCCTTCCCAGAAAAATAAAGAGATACCTTGTAAAATAATGATAGTCGACATTTAAGAAATTTATAAAGGTATGGTTGTATGTAGAAGTAGATCAAAATAAATTTAACACCTTGATTACCAGCATTTTAAGAACAAATTAAGGAAAATAATATCTTGCTTATCGGCCTAGAAGGTACATGCAATAAGTAGATCAAAATAAAACGTTGATTAACAGCATTATAAACCAATAAAGGAAAATAATACCTCGATTATAGGGCTGGTAAGTAGGTCACCAACCAGTTCTACGGCTCAATAAAACCTGCTTGAGCCATAGAACTGGTTGGTGACCTACTTACCAGCCCTATAGGCCTAAATAGATCAAAATAAAAGCTCGATTTTCTCCCTTGACAGGGCCGCTAAGCTGAGCATCCACTTCAGCCATTCCGACCAAGACGGCTCCGAACACACGATTGATGGGCGGGGCTTCAGTGCCGAGGTAAGTCCACTAATCCGCCATGGTAGAAAATAAATTGTGATGACAATGTAACAGTCTTTGAAGAATTGTAACAATCACATCACGTGACTGAGGGGCGGGGTAATTTGTCACTATGCTAGCAGCATCCCCCCACCCCCCTACCCTTTACTTTCCTCCTTGTTACAACATGAAAACCTTAACCCTCCCACCCCACCCCCTTGTGATACAATGTAAACCTTGACCTTGCTCCAGATCCAGATATTCGCCTACAACTCTGACCTCTACACCAACCTGACCTACGCTATGACGTCACCACGAGGAGTTGTCTGTCTGGCCGTTCTAGTCAAGGTAAAATTCTATACATATATATATATATATATATATATATATGTGACCTAGGCTACTCGCAGCGCCAAATGTGACCCTGCTCGCAGCGCTAATTGTGACCTTCCCCGAGTCTATCCTGCCCGACAACGCCAATTGTAACGAGTTGAACCACTCATGCTACACAACATCGACTACAGTAGAAAGACTCGAAGATGCAGGTTCGCTATTGATCCTTTTATTACATGAATCAAGAAATGCTTCAATATAACACAATGAATCAACAGAAAGGTTTCAATATAATAGTCTGAATCAACTGACCCCCTAACAGTCCTCACTAGGCTTCATATAACTGAATCCACATGTCTAATGTCCTTCTTAACACAATATAACCAACTTGGTATGTCACACAGACTGACTGATCTAAAGCGAGCGATGAAGAGGGAAGAGCACGAGTTCAGCCGTCCCCTCCTATTTATCCCTTGTATTCGTACTCATCTTCGTACTTGTATTCCTCCGTAATCGATACTTGTACTCGATGTCTCCGACCACTAGTTGCGCAGTTCTAACGTACAGTCCGTGTCATAAACATCTGCATCCTATCAATCAAAGTTGACAGGCCGTCTGAATCCCCTCGTACCGTTTCCCAAAATAGCACGCGTTGGCTTTGAGATTGTTATCAGTCCGATCCAATAAGCCACCTGCTATCGGTTGCGTCAGACTGTAATACTGCGTCTCGGCTTATCGTTCGTTATCAGATTTGTGACTAGTAGCTAGGCCCACCCTAGCTACATCGACCCCTGCCTTTTTTTGTGTGTTTTCAACCACAAACAACGCCTGGCAGGTGCACTCCTCCAAAGTCAATCGCACAATCGTAAAAAAATTCTATTGTTCCACTCACTGTCCACGACGTTCCATTCGTATACGATTGACAGTTATACCTATTTCACATATCAACTGTGTCTACATCGTCTTCCTGAGACACAAAACAGTTCTAGAATTCACATCCACCCTTCTCGTTTGGTGCCTTCACCAGTTCAGTTTTATAGGTTTTTGAACCGTCTGTTCTCATACCAGCGCGACCATGAAAGACTTGATGGTTGCTGACAAAAAATTTCGTCTTCCTTCTGTTCCTCAAACTTCTCCGCGGACCACTTATCTGATGGTCTACTGTCTCTCTGCTTCTGGAAGGAACGGGATCCTCTTTGTTGCCGTTATCCTCCACTTGTATATCGCGGTTGTTCTGTTGATGGTGATATGGTTCCGGGATGGGTATGTAAATTTCCGTTATAGTTTCCGGTTCCCTAATTGTCTTGGATTTCCTTGTGTGTAACTGCTCTTCTTGCCTATTCCAATATTTCTTTAATTGAGCAATATTCGCCCACCGATCCGGTTTGGCGTGATCGATGGGTCTTATCTTAAAGGGGCCACCTGCTACTTTAGGCATCTCCACGACTTGCCATATCTCCTGTCCCCAGAGATCGTGGATTTTGTTTCTGCCTAACGGGTGGCTACGCAGTAATACCCTGTCATTCAGTTTGAGTGGCGGGTCCTTCGTCTGTACCGGCGGTTCCCTTCGCCGTGCTTCATGTTCTAGTCTTTCCTGTACTACCCTGTACATTTCTCTAATTCTTCTCATATGTTCATTCACATATTCCAGTGCGGTGTATGAGCCAGTCATACTCTCCCTTTTTCCTAGGAACAAATCAAGAGGGAGTCGAGCCTCTCGTCCGAACAGCAACATGTATGGCGAAAAGCCGGTTGTGGCATGGGGTGTGCAGTTGTATAGATATACCAACTCTGGGAGAAAATCAGGCCAACGTTTTTTCTGTTCAGGTTCTAGCGTACGCAGCAAATCATGCATGCTGCGGTTGAACCGTTCACACTGTCCGTTTCCTTTCGGATTAAATGTGGTTGTTCTAGATTTGTTGATCCCGTAGTGGCTGCACAGTTGGTTAATTACTTCTGACTCGAAAGCCCTTCCTTGGTCAGAGTGTAATTGTCTTGGTATGCCATATTTGATGAACCAATGTTCTATTAAGACCTTTGCCACTGTTTTGGCAGTCTGATCTCGCGTGGGCACCGCCACCGTCCATTTGGTGAATACATCAGTCATTACCAACACATGTTCCGTCCCAACCGATGATTGCTCCAACGACGTAAAGTCCATAGCCACAATCTCTAGTGGTTTTGTCGCTAGTAGGTGTCCTGATGGCTGTCTCATTTTGACAACTGGCATTTTCGCATGCTGACACCTCACACAAGCCTCACAATGGCGTTTGACCTCCATTTCCATATTGGGCCAGTAACACCTCCGTCGTAATATTTTGTGCGTCCTGTCCTGACCCTGGTGTCCTGCCCTGTCATGTGCCAACCTTAGCACTTCTTCTCGTAACTGTCCAGGCACCACCACCTGGTGTATTGTCCCATCAATTTGGTCATGAATTCTCCGCATGAGAACACCATCCTCTATACTGAGACGGTCCCACTGACTCAGTATTTTCTTTGTTTCTCGACCAAATTGTTCTCTTTCCCTTCTTCCTGGGAATTTTTGTTCCTGGACGTATTTCAATAGCGGTTGTAAGCCACTATCCGTTCTCTGGGCATCTCTTATCTTTTTGTGATTAAAGCAATTAAAATCACTACTGTCCATATGTCCGGGCTCTGTGGATATGTGCTCCACCCCGGTCTGCCCGTTTTGCATTACTTGTACCCCATGAGGGATATCTGTTGACGCTCTGACCTCACATATTCCTGTCAGCGTTTCTTCCTCATCACCCGGTTTCTCGTAAGGATTCCTTGATAAAGCGTCCGCATTGCCATTGGACCGCCCCGGGCGATACTTTATCTCTAGGTCAAAGAGTGCCAATTCTGATGCCCATCGCTGTTCGATGGATCCCAACTTTGCTGTCTTTAGGTGACTCAAGGGGTTATTGTCAGTGTATACCACACATTTAGCACCTAATAGATAGTCCCTGAATTTTTCAGTCACAGCCCATTTTAATGTCAAAAGTTCTAGTTTCATGGCGCTGTAATTTGTCATGTTCCTCTCTGATCCCTTCAGAGCTCGACTGGCATACGCAATAACCCTGAAACCTTGCTTTTGTTGTTGTGATAGCACAGCTCCCAGACCTTTAGAGCTGGCGTCAATTTCTAACCGGAATGGTTTATCAAAGTCCGCGTATCCCAATATCGGCGCCTCTGTCAAAGCCTTTTTCAAGAGCTTAAACGAGTTCAGGCATTCATCAGTCCATAATTCACCTATCAGTTGTGTTTTGCCTTTCTTTTTCTCCTTACTGTGTTTCTTTGTCATTTTGTTTACCAAGTCATGCAATGGTGCGGCAATTTTTGCAAAACCAGGCACAAATTTTCTATAATAGGAAGCAAAGCCCAAGAATGATCTGACCTCTACTGTAGTTGTTGGCTGTTTCCATTCTTTAACAGCTGCAATTTTATCTGGGTCAGTGGCGATGCCATCCGACGAAATCACATAACCCAAAAAATGTACCGATTTCAGACCAAAACAGCATTTGTCTGGATTCAGCTTTACTCCTATCTCCCTGAGACGGAGAAACACTTGTTCTAATCTCTTTAGATGGTCCTCCCAAGTTTTTGAGTAAACTAGAATATCATCCAAATACACCAACATTATTTGAAATAGAAAGTCACTCATAGCACTCTGCATTACTCGCTGGAATGTAGCAGGTGCATTAGTTAGACCAAACGGCATACGGGTCCACTCGTACAGTCCCAGTGGAGAAATAAATGCAGTTTTATGTTGATCGTTGGGGTGCATGGCCACTTGGTGGTAGCCACTAGCCAAATCCAAGGTAGAAAAAAATCTTGCTCCCCCCAACGCATCAAGACATTCATCAATACGAGGCAAGGGGAATGCATCCCTTCTTGTGATATTGTTCAATTTCCGGTAATCACAACACAGTCTTATCTCCCCTGACTTCTTTTTTACCACTACTATCGGTGCCGCATACGGGCTTGTACTGGTTGTAATAATTCCCTTTTTTAGTAGATCATTCAGGTGTGCTTTCACCGCCGAGTAGTGACTCGGTGGTAATCTTCGATAAGGTTGCGCCACCGGCTTGTCTTGTAGTAAGGGTATCTGGTGTTTGATTACTTCCGTGTACCCCAAATCACCCTCATACGAGGCAAATATATCACTGTATTTATTCAGCAATTCATTTAGTTTTGGGTCCTCAGTTTCCGGGAATGTATATGATCGGCCATCCTCTTTCTTCACCTCGGCCGTCACATTGACCGACCTAATTGTTACTTCATTACTGCCGGTATTGCTCAGTTCGATGCACTGTGCCGACCTTAGTACCTCGACGTTCTGTGGTACTCCTACCAGAGTATTAGGCGGTATAAAAATTTCCTCATCCAAAACATTTGCCACTAATCCTTGAACTAGTCCATTTTCCGCTGATGTGTATGTCCGCAGTAACACGACACCTGCCCTCAGTGCGGCGCCACATGGTTCTATCATCACATCACCATTCACACTTCTATCACCAATTTGTAATGTGATTGCCTTGACCGTGTTTGCCGGGACTGCTGTCCTTCCTCTGGTCTTGGCAAACCTGGCCATCTTGGATCCCCGACCTGGTGTGGTCGATCCGACAATATTTGTAAGAAATTCTGGCAACTGGCCAAGAATATTCATGCCCAACAGGCAAGGTATATCTGACACATTTGTCTCTAGGTTGTGTTTCGTAACGAACACCCCAACCTGCTTCAACCTATGTCCTGCCACCACGACATCCGCCAGAAAATAACCACAGTATGGAATGGTTAGTCCATTAGCTGCCGTCAGGCGCATGCATGTGTCAGACCTCAACCTATGGTCTTTTCCTTTCATCCATTTGGTGTAAAAATTTTCCGTGATTGTCGTCACCTGGGAGCCTGTATCCACAATTGCCTTCACCGCGATGTCCCCAATCGTAATCACCATTTCGGGACAGACTCCCATCATTTTGCTTCTTGGGCCATAACCTCGCCCCTCTGTAGCCTGGCCCTGCCTTACAGAGGACGACCGTTTCCCTGGCAGTACCGTGCCATATGTCCGGGTTGTGAACAAGACAAACAAATTGGTCGGCCGTCGGCCGTCCATTGGAGTGATGGCTTGGCAGGACGCGGCCGTCCAACCCGTCCCTGTTTTGTCCCGTTCTTTTCCTGATTCTCAGCTGTTGACCTGCTTTCTAACCTCTCCAAACGTTGGTCAACCTTATCTAGGTGGGCCAACAGTTGAGCCATCATGGTCTCCATCGTGTCGGCCCCTGTGGGTGGGGATTGTCTCTGTTCAGGCACAGAGACTTTGTCCACCGAACAGTCCGATTGGTCCTCATCCTCGGACCTGCGGATCGCTGAGTTCCTGACCTGAAGGAAGGTCAACTGCGGGTCTTTGTGGACCTCCTCTTTCAACTCTCTTCTTAGGATCGGGGTTGCCAGCCCCTCGATGAAATGGTCCCTCAGTAGGCGCACATCAATGTCAGGTGTTTTGACCTTTACCGAATCAAAGGCCCTGTTCATCCGGTGTGAGTACTCCATCACACTCTCCGCCAATCTCTGCCTTAAGCCTACGAACCCTGCTAGCAGTTGCGATCCCGACCGTCTCTCCCCAAAGGTCTCCATAATCAGATCCAGCACCTTATCTGGATCTGATTGGATGGTTTTATCGTGGCATTTGACCTCTGCCCTAACCGTCTCTCCTATACTGCCCATCAGCAGTCTTAATCTCTCCTCTGGTGACATGCTTCTCGAGGCCCAGGCCGCTTTGACCTCTTCACTGAATCTGTTGGTTAAAGTTGGATCACCGTCCCCGTAAAATTTGTTAATGTGGGACTCTCTGGGTAGGACCACTATATGGGTCTGCTTCTCGTCCAGAGTAGACATTTTATTCCGTAAGTAAAACAAAAGAGTTCTTTCTTACCGTGTGTATATGAAAAAAATTTTCCTCGATTTTCACAGTTCCTGAATGTCAGAATTCACACAC